TTGTTACTAATCAATATCTTCTAGAAAGATTTGATTTGATTCCTAGCCCAGTCATGCGCATAAATACTGAGGCTGGGACATCGGAAGACCCTAGATCTATTGTTTTGGGAAATCATGATGATCTATTAAGGGTTGATGAAATTGCTATTAATTATATGGAGACTGGAGAGTCTTATGATCGAAATGCTACAACTGTCGACATCTTTTTCTCTGAACAAATTGCTGAAATCCTTCAAAATGATCTAGATCCAAAATCCATGGTAGAGTGCAAGAAGCGCTCAGACTGGAATAAGTGGAAGGATGCAATAGAAACAGAGATAGCCTCGCTCACAAAACGGGAAGTGTCTTCGGCCGTATTGCCAACACCTCCTGGTGTCCATCCTGTTGGATATAAATGGGCTTTCATCCGGAAACGGAATGAAAACAATGAAGTGGTGAGATATAAAGCAAGGCTAGTAGCACAAGGCTTCACGCAAAGGCCTGGCGTTGATTTCAACGAAACTTATTCTCCAGTCATGAGTGGCATAACTTTCCGATATTTAATATCTTTGGCAGTACAAAATTGTCTGTCTATGCAGTTGATGGACGTGGTGACCGCATATTTATATGGGTCATTGGATTCTAAGATATACATGAAAGTTCCTGACGGAATTAGCATACCAAATCCTGAGGCAAATCGTAATATGTTTTGTGTTAAGTTGCAGAAGTCGTTATATGGCTTAAAACAATTGGGCTGAATGTGGTACAATCGGTTAAGTGAATTCCTTAAACATAAGGGATACACACATAATGATGATTGCCCGTATGTCTTCATTAAGAAATCCGTAATGGGTTTTTGCATTGTGTCTATATACGTTGATGATATAAATATCATTGGTAACGAACATGACATTAATGAAGCACGTCATCATTTGAAGGTGGAGTTTGAAATGAAAGACTTAGGTCAAATCAAGTTATGCTTAGGTTTACAACTTGAGCATTTTCCATCTGGGATTTTTGTATATCAAGCTGCCTATATCCAGAAAATGTTAGAGAAATTCAATATGGATAAAGCTTACCCATGTAAAACCCCCATGGTTGTTAGATCTTTGGAAGTTGAGAAAGATCCTTTCAGACCAAGGGAGGAAGGTGAAAAGATTTTGGGACCCGAGGTTCCTTATCTAAGTGCCATTGGTGCACTGATGTATCTTGCTAATAGTACCCGGCCAGATATTGCTTTTGCAAATAATTTATTAGCAAGACATAGTGCCGCTCCTACCAAGCGTCATTGGGTTGGAGTTAAAACTCTTTTTAGATATCTCAATAGCACAAGAGATCTTGGATTATTCTATAGAAAGAATCAAGATCAAAATTTATTGGGTTATACAGATCGCGCTATTTATCTGATCCCCATAATGACAAATCCCAAACTGGTTTTGTATTTTTAAATGGTGGAACAACAATTTCTTAGAAATCATCCAAGCAAACTTTAGTGTCTACATCCACCAACCATTCTGAGATTATTGCATTATATGAAGCCTCACGAGAGTGTGTATGGCTTCGCAGAATGGTAGACCACATATTGAAATCATGTGGAATTGGTGCACTTGATGCACCAACAATTATCTTTGAAGATAATGCTGCTTGTGTTGTACAAATGGAATCAGGTTACATCAAGAGTAACTTGACGAAACATATCACCCTCAAATTATTTTATCTCCATGAGTTGCAAAAGAATGGGGAAATTGAGATTCTGCAAACTAAATCATGTGATAATCTTGCCGATCTATTCACAAAGTCCCTACCATATTCTACGTTTCATAAATGCATTGAAGGGATTGGTATGGTTAGATTTAGAGACTTGCAGAAATCAGGGGGAGTATCTCTCGATACTTAATCCATTTCACATCGTATTATACTCTTTTCTTTGTATGAGTTTTACCTTAAAAGATTTTCTCATATAAAGTTTTTTAACGAGGCAGTATCAGCATTATGTATGTCATATCATCTAGTTTTCCCCACTGGGGTTTTTAGGAGATGATATATTAAGACATTGCTATATGATTATCATGGTGTTTTCTCCTATATTTTCCCATCGGGTTTTTTAAGGAGTTTTATCCTGATATATCAATGTGTTCCTAAGTTTTTCCACAGGGTTTTCTAAGGATTAATAATATTAATGATTATGATGAACATTGGAGCTCTAGAAGATAATTGATTATGGGGAGTGTTAAGAATATTCTAATATTCCTAATAATCAATTAGTGGGCAATTAGCAACTGCTAATTGCAGTTACCGTGACCACTAAAAGGCGTCGTACGGACGGGACTTGGGAGCGGGGCTCTCCCACGTTCACTGGAACTGCCCCACCGTGGGCATGTATATATCTGTGTACTGTTCATCAATAAAGTTGACACCTGCGCTTACTGTTCATAATACAATACTACAACAGGCCCCGCAACCGTAAGAGAGCGCACCGCACGGGCGGGTGGGTGTGGAATGACCTCGCTGCCCTTCCCTCCCCGTCGTACAGGAGGGCGGGCTGCTGGTACAAGAGGGGTGGGTGCGCTGCCCTCCCAGTTGTGTTCTGTTTGGAAAGCCGGAGGGGTGGAAGGGTGAGAAGTTCTCTCGGCTTCTCGGAGACGTCGCCAACTCGCCATCCGCTTCCACCACTCGGCGGTACCCGAAAACCCTCCTCCTCTGTTCCTCTCCCTCTCCCACTCCCCCGCCTCCCTGTTCGTGGAAATCTAGAGTTTTGGCGGGGTTTAGATCGCCTGTTCCTGCCGCGGATTTAGGGAGGGTTTCTGTGGTGAGGGTTTTTGCGCCCCTCGGGCGGTGTGTTCTTTGTTTCTTTGGTTTTTTTTTGTGTCAAGATCGCTGCATTCCGGTCTGCGCTTACAAAGGTGTTGTCTTTGTGGATGGATTCTGTTCCCCTAGGTTTTTGGTGGGTTTGCCTGCGGTTTTAGGCATGTTTCTATTGTTCTCCATCGAGCAGGTCGAGGCTTTTCCTTGGTGGATTGATTGTGGTGGCCCCGTGTCGCGCATGTGACCGCGTTTGCGGTTTTTCTTTTGTGGATTGATACTTTTTTATGCCTTTTCCGATTTTCCTCTTTTTTTAGTTACATGGAGGGTTTTCTTGTTTTCATTAGTGCAATGGCAATGGTCTGTTTTCCCTCTCTTTTCGTCGCGCATTTGTTTTTGTCATGTTTAAGGCTTAATTTTCTCCCTCTTTTTTTTGAGCTTTTCTACGTATATATGGAGGAGGGTATTCAGGTTTTCTTCTTTGTTATCTTAAAAGATTTATTTTTATTTATTTTTGCGCGTTTTTCTATAGATGGTTTTATGGTTCTCCTGCTCATCATGTTAAAGATCTGATTTTTATGTGTTTTAAAGTTTTTTGGGAGGTTTATGGTGGCACTGTTCATTTCTCTGCAGAAAGGATAGTTTTTGAATAATTTTTTATTCGATGTTTGATAAATACGCATCTCTGGAAGGTCCATTCTTAAGAATAATAGTGCTAGTAGTGAAGGTTGTTCTGCAAGGTTGATTCTAAATAAAAGATTAGAAAAAACCATCTCCAACAACTCCTAATACTTCTTTTGTGCGGCGTAAATCGTTGTTAAATTAGGGGTACGCGCAGCAATATTCTTTGTTTTTTTGGGGGTTTCTTGAGTCAGGAAATTTCGCCATGACTTTCCAAAGGAAAAGTGGCCAAGATTTTTTTCTTGCCTTTCTTCCTGGATTTATTACCCTTTCAAATCTTTTGCAATGTTTTGAGGTCTATACAGATATATAATTATTGTTACATGACTCTTATTGTAATTTATTTACATTCTCGTTTGTTTATTGTCTTTTATTGTCATATGATATGATATAATTCTTTTTTTTCCTCTAAATCTTTTTATTTGTTGATGTGAGAGGGTTGGGCAGCAATAGGCTTTGTAGCTTTGGGCCAGGTACATTGCTTTCTCGTATTAGTATATTATGCCATATGGTTTACAATTTTGTGTGAGCAACTGAGCATGTGCAGGGTTGGGCAGAGGCTTTAGAATTGCTCTCGTAAGTATATTATGCCATATGGTTTACAATTTTGTGTGAGCAACTGAGCATGTAGAACGGCTCCTATAAAGGTCCAGTAGGATGATTCTGTATGAGTTGTCACTAGCAAATCTTCTATGGACTATGGTAGTGTGTTGTGTTCGAGGTCCTTGTTTAGTACTGTTTCCTTAGTTTGTTGTTTATTAATGTTTCCATAGTTTGTGAGATGATCATGGTTTCATTTTTTTTTTGTTTTTAAATTTGTTCGGTCACAGCAATTGGCTTTGCCTACCTGTATCATTCTTACATCTATATTCTATACTATACAGTGACTTCTTCTTCTTCATTGTATGAAGTATTAGGAGACAAAACAGATGCCAGATATTTAAATGTTCCAATTTCTAATTGATATAAGTGGAATATCTTCTATTGCTATTAGTGTGGGTTGCAAAATAATAAATTATCCTGATGTTACATTTTTGTTGCATATTTGGCCGTGATGGGACTTGGGAGTAGACGTTCGCGGCTTATAAGCTGTACTTTTTCAGCCAATGAACAATATTTTTCTCTCGCAATAAATCAGCCAAGCGGTACTTTCAGCCATGGTTTATTAGCTAAGCGAACAGGGCAATGTCTGAAATGTATACTGTTGGCACAATGTAAATAGTTGGCAGTTGAAATGTCTGAAATGTATACTTTAGAGAATGTGTATGTGTATTGTTGGGGGTGTGGCATAAGTTAGGGACTCCCATTACTGTGTAATAAGGCCCAATTACTATTGAATTCCTAGTTTTTGTTGCTTCCACTTGTTGTACTTTTCTGAAATCAGATGTTTTATCTCTGTTAAAAGGGTGATTTACCTGTATACTTGTCCTTCTGCCGCTTCAGTTGCATTGCTGCTTGCTTGAATCATACAGCTAGTGCCTATGTATATGTCTGATTGGGTTGCTTTGGATATCTACTCATGCAGCAAGGCTCACTAAATGGAGTCTCACAATGGAGAGGCTGATGACTTGCCTCCACCACCTCCTTTGGCTGCTGGTGTTGAGCCACTTAAAGCTGATGAAACAAAGGCGCCATTGAAACTTAGGAGTCCGGTCCAGAGGAATGGCTTTGGCAGAAAGGGGCAGCAGATAAAACTGATAACAAATCACTTCAAAGTTTCTCTCATGAATGCTGCAGATTATTTCTATCACTATTACGTGCGTCTCTAATCCTTGTCCAGTGTCATTTCTTTATTTTCATCCTCATACCTTCATTACCAATGCTGTTGATCGCAAAGGGTCGGGAAGAAAAGTGATCGAAAAACTGCAGCCAACTTATGCTGTTGAACATGCAAATAAAGATTTTTCATATGATGGTGAGAAGAGCCTGTTCACAATTGGTGCTCTTCCTCAAGTTAAAAACGAGTTCACTGTCGTGGTGGATGATGTTTCAACTGGAAAGTAAGCCTCAGTTATTTTGATTGATTTTGTCATTATCTACTCTGATGATAATTATCCCTAAATGTTAACTTGACTTTCTTGCTTTCAGGACTCCTGCAAATGGCAGTCCAGGCAATGACAGTCCTCCTGGAAGTGACAGGAAAAGGATCAGAAGGTCTTATAATTATAATACAAAGACGTACAAGGTCGAACTCTCTTTTGCTGCAAAAATTCCCATGAGTGCAATCTCACAGGCCTTGAGAGGTCAGGAATCAGAGCACACTCAGGAAGCAATTCGAGTGATCGACATTATTCTGAGGCAGCACTCAGGTAAGTAGTAAGTAATTGTTTCATGCAGTTCAGAGGGCATATATTACAAATATTGCTGATATTATTGACGGTTCTTGCAGTGTAGCCATTCTCTGTCTTTAACCGTGTCTCTTTTTGCTTGCAGGGGTTGCCTATTAGTAAGGCAATCATTCTTCCACAACAATCCTTCCAACTTTGTTGACCTGGGTGGTGGTGTAGTGGGCTGTAGAGGGTTTCATTCTAGTTTTCGTGCAACCCACAGTGGACTTTCACTCAATATCGGTCTGTTCATATCATCCATATGCCCTGTTTTAATCTATACAATACAATGATCATTTCTCTCTATGCAGTTGGTAATGTCTGCATGTGTTACTATGTTGTGCAGATGTGTCCACCACAATGATTGTGAAACCTGGTCCTGTCATTGATTTTCTGCTTGCCAATCAGAAAGTTAGTGATCCAAGCATGATTGATTGGGCTAAGGTAATGTTTCATGCTAAATACAACAGATATAGTATAGGCTGAAGGTTGAGTTCCATTTCACCATACTTTAGATGTTTATTTTTGCAATTTGTTTTACTTATTTATGCAGGCCAAGCGTGCACTGAAGAACTTACGGATAAAAACAAGTCCAGCGAACCAAGAGCAGAAGATTGTTGGTCTCAGTGACAGACCTTGCCGTGAGCAATTGTAAGTAGCGTGATGTGTTGGTGTTTGAACGGTTTTTGTATTGTTTGTACTTTATTTTGTTCTCCAAGCTCCTTTTGAGTTCTGCATCTTAGTTTCATATACATTTTCTAAGTACTTGGTGATTTCCTTGCTTATGTAGATTCACACTGAAACATAAAAATGGCAATGGTGACTCTGAAGTGATCACTGTTTTTGATTACTTCGTAAAGAACCGTGGCATAGAGCTGCAATACTCTGGTGATCTTCCTTGTATCAGTGTGGGAAAACCAAAGCGGCCAACATATTTTCCAGTTGAGGTAACTATTATTTGAATAGTAGTGTTGTTCCTTTGCTGTGAATCTCTTTTCCAGTTGAGGTAACTATTATTTGAATAGTAGTGTTGTTCCTTTGCTGTGAATCTCTTTTCCCTTCTAATGTTGTGAAGATTGTTTCCATGTTTTACCAGTTATGCAGTCTTCTGCCTTTACAAAGATACACTAAAGCTTTGGGGACACTACAGAGGTCGTCACTTGTTGAGAAATCTAGGCAGAAACCACAAGAAAGGATGTCTGTTTTGTATGATGTGAGTGATTTTTTTGGATTGAACGGTTGAACCTAGCAATTCTTTTCTTTTTGTTATTATATATAACAATAACAATTGGGCCTAGCAAGTTGGGTTATTGGTAGGCGTGGTTTTCTTAAACTGTTTTTTTTTCATGTCAAATTGGGCAGGTACTGCAAAGAAGCAACTATGATGCAGAGCCCATGCTGAAGGCATGCGGGATTACAATTGCTAGAAGTTTCACAGAAGTTGATGGTAGGGTACTGCAGCCCCCCAAGGTTGGTCATTACTGTTTATCCTATATCATTTCAGACATCCTTTGTGGCTATGGAATTTTGAAGCTGTAAATCTTATAACTGTCTTTTCGTTCAGCTTAAAGCTGGGAATGGAGAAGACATTTTTACACACAATGGTAGATGGAACTTCAACAATAAGGTCAGCATTATAGCATATTCTTGCTTATGTGTATGTGGATTCTCATGATGTCACATGTAATATTTGAATTTCTGTTTTCAGAGGCTCATTAGAGCTAGCAGTGTCGAGAAATGGGCAGTGGTCAACTTTCCTGCACGATGCAATGTCAGGGATCTTGTCCGTGATCTCATCAAGTGTGGAGGCATGAAGGGGATTGTAAGTTTATTTTCTCATCATGTTACGCATTTCCAGATGTGTTCTAATTCATGTTTGGTATTGTATTTCCACATGTTCTTATTTACTTGTTTGGTATTGCAGATGGTTGAAGCACCTTTCGATGTATTTGATGAGAATCCTTCAATGAGACGGTCACCTTCTGTAAGAAGGGTTGAAGACATGTTTGAACAAGTGAAAACTAAGCTTCCTGGAGCACCCAAGTTTCTTGTGTGTTCTAGCTGAAAGGAAGAATTCTGATATTTATGGTTGGTTAATACTACTATAAATCGCTGTTAACTTCTGTGGCACATTTTATTTTCTGCTGTATCATTATGCCATTGACCTTTACAGGGCCTTGGAAGAAGAAATGCCTTGCTGAATTTGGGATCGTAACACAGTGCGTGGCACCAACTAGAGTCAATGATCAGTATCTTACAAATGTCCTACTAAAGATAAATGCAAAGGTCTGTAACTTCGCCCTGAGATTTGAGAGCATGGCTACATTTGTATATGGCAATTATATATTTTTGATATTTTTCCCTTTTCAAACAGTTGGGTGGCATGAATTCGTTGCTCCAAATTGAGACATCCCCAGCAATTCCTCTCGTATCCAAGGTCCCAACTATAATCTTAGGAATGGATGTATCCCACGGCTCTCCTGGATATTCTGATGTACCGTCCATTGCTGCTGTAAGTATAATTTTTGTAATTTTCTGTGATAAACAATAAATAGTAGCTACTGTGACAGTTCTGATTTTGTTTTTCTTAGGTTGTTAGTTCTCGTGAATGGCCACTTATCTCGAAATACAGAGCTTCTGTCCGCACCCATCCTAAAATGGAAATGATTGACATGATTGACTCATTGTTTAATCCACGGGAAACTGAAGATGATGGTCTGATCCGGTAAGAGATCTTTACCTGCATTACCATCGTTAAGTTTGATCATGTTGCACTTTGCTGAATATCCTTTATGTTCTAATGACATGCTTTCTCCCGTTACTTGTTGGAATTTGATGTATCTTCAGGGAGTGTCTGATTGACTTCTACACCAGTTCTGGGAAGAGAAAGCCTGACCAAGTCATCATCTTCAGGTCTGTTATTATTTTAAACTATCTGTTTGCAAATCTGGGTAGTTAACTTTTTTTGTGGAAGTAATTGTTTGGTTCAGAAAATTGGTTGCCTATCTCCTGTCTCATCTGTTTTGTTATAGCACCAAGCTGATTTGTGTCTAATTATAGGGATGGTGTTAGCGAAAGTCAGTTTAATCAGGTGCTGAACATTGAGTTGCTACAAATCATCGAGGTATTTTTTATTAGCAAATCTATTGGCACGCTCTATTGGTGTTGTTGTGATGTTGTCATGGTTGCTTTTATCCAATTATGCTGTACAGCGTGCTTGTCCATATTAACATGGTCCTATTACCTCTTCAGGCTTGCAAATTTCTTGATGAGAAATGGAATCCGAAGTTCACGTTGATTATTGCCCAGAAGAACCATCACACTAAATTTTTCATTCCTGGAAAGCCAGATAATGTTCCACCTGGTAATCTTCATCACCTACCATTCTGCTGTTGCAATTGTGTAGGCTCATTTATTGGTGACCTTATTATATTCTCTAATCATCTCAATGGCTTTATCTGTAGGGACTGTTGTGGACAACAAAGTCTGCCATCCAAGGAACTTTGACTTCTACATGTGTTCACATGCTGGAATGATCGTAAGCATTTCTGCCTTTGTATTTGATCTACAGTCAATTGGTGTCGTTTTGCCCTGAAATGAGAAATGTCCTGCATTTGTAACCCCACACTAAAGCAACTGTGTTCAGATTTAAACTGCCAAGGTGCTTCACACCATCAGTGGTAAACTTGGTTGTAATATTGCTCCAGTAGATGGCCAAATTTGAGGTTGTTTTATGTGTCTGCTTGTGCTGCTATCACCTTGTTTCAGTGTGTATCCGAGATTTCACTGAAACTTGGTTCTGCTGTCATTAAGTTTGCCTATGTAGACATTATTTTTTATGTGAATTGATAGATCTAATTGCATGTTTCTTTTTTTGCCAGGGGACTACGAGGCCAACTCACTATCACATCCTGCATGATGAGATAGGCTTCAACCCTGATGACCTGCAGGAGCTGGTGCATTCCCTTTCTTATGTGTAAGTACCAAGCAGGGGCTTAAAAACTTTTGCTAACCTACTGTCCTGTTATTATGAAAAAACTTGCCTGCTCACTAGCCATTTTGTGGGACTTTATTTCAGGTACCAAAGGAGCACAACAGCCATATCAGTTGGTAAGTTTACTCTGGCAACTTTTCTTTTTGTGTGGCAAACTCATCACCTCCAGTAGCTTGTGTATCAGATCTGTGGGAACTGATTCCATTGTTTGCCTGCCTGCAGTTGCTCCCATCTGCTATGCACATCTTGCAGCTGTTCAAGTCGGCCAGTTCATAAAGTTTGATGAGATGTCGGAGACGTCCTCCAGCCATGGCGGCCATAGTTCGGCGGGCAGCGTCCCTGTCCAAGATCTGCCCCGTCTGCATGAGAAAGTCAGGAGTTCGATGTTCTTCTGCTGAGCATCTATAGGTTGCTGCTTCGGCATTTTTCTTTGGCATGTGTCGTGGCCTTACTTTTGGTGGGTGGTTGGGTCTGAACCCTGGTAGTAGTTATGTCTGGTGGCAGTAAACGCTCTTGGATGATGCCCATGAACTTATGAACTTGTTGCGGCACTTGGTGCCTGCCTCTGGAAGACTTGGTAGTAGGATGTTAAATGCTAGTTTTTAAAGCATCGCTGCAGTTATGTTTGGCTGAGGGCTTGTTGCAGTGCTTTGTGCCTTGCCTGCCCTCAGGAAGACTTGGAACCTTGTAGGATGTCGTTAAACCATCCTTTTAAGCGGTTGCTGGTTCGATCTATGAGTTGTGCTGTCGTGCTTATTGTCTGTCCTGGTTGCTGTTTTCTGCTTGGTAGTATGCAAGTGTGGTATCTGGTATGTTTCAGTTGTATGCAAGTGTGGTATGTTTCAGTTGTATGCAGGTGTGGTATGTTTCAGTTGTATGCAAGTGTGGTATGTTTCAGTAGTGGTTCAGCTTGAGATTGAAAAATTGGAGTGGATGGCTTCATTTGACTACTTGGGAGTTGGGACCTGCTGGTCTGATGACCTGTTTGCTTTCTACACGTTGCTGCGAATTGGGCTGTAAGCTCCTGTTTGTATTTACCTTGGGTTAAATCACGTTGCTAACCAATAGCTTGCAAGAGCTTACAGCCTGTGGTGCGTGCTGGGATTGCACCTGGAGCTCCTATGGGATTACAGGTTCTACTTTTTATTGCATGCCAAGTGTGATATTTGTTTCAGTAGTGGCCCTAGCTTGAGATTGCACACATTGGCACGACTGGATTACATTTGGCACTCTGGGCTTTTTGGGACTTTCTTGCTGGTCTGATGGTCTGCAGTAGCCTGAGCGTTGGTACGGGATGAAGCCGCGTGCTGTACTAGGCGGCACCTCTGATGGTTACTGCTGCTTGCTCAGTCCCGCAAACTCTGTAATCCACATAATCGCCTGGTCCCATAAAAGGGAGTAGAACCTGTAGTCCTAATCAAAATCATCATCGCCCTTTCTCCGTTTGATTAGGCTATGACAAAGTATGATGAGGCTATGAGCAAAGAATCTGATACTTAGAATCGTAGAAGGGGTCTGTCCAACAGGCAAGCTCCGTAGAACCTATGATACGTAGAATCGTAGAAGGCATCTGTAGTACCAGCTGGGATTCGCTTCGTAAATTAGCCTCCATCCATGTAATTAGTTTTATAATTAATTTATATTTAATATTCCTAATTGTTATCAAAGATTTGATGTGACAAGACTAAACATTTGGCAGCCGGAAACAAACACACCCGAAGGATGTGTAGGACAATCAAGCTCCGGAGAAGGGGAAGAATCTGTAATTATATCGGCAGAACCTATAATCTACCAGGACAAGAACCTACTATATATATCCAAACCACGTTGGATACATCTTGGAGCGGGTAGAGGACAAGAACCTTTAATGCATATCATATCATCTTCGTAGCAGAAGCAGGGACAGGAACCTGTAATCGACATCGTTGCTTGCATCTGTATAAATGGAACAAAACCTATAATCAACATCGCCTCATCTGTATAAAAGGAGCAAAACCTATAATCAACATCGCCTTCTCCCTCTCTTTTTGCCAGCTTTCTTGCCAACATTCGTCGCAGGTTATGTACCATACGTCGCATGAGACAAAGGGCTTAGGTCCGTTTATAAAGGACAAAGCATTGCTTAATTAAGGAAAGAACCTCTTATTAGACAAAGCTTGCTCTTTCCATAAATGCGTACAGTATTAATGATGTACGCGTTCCATGTTTATATATGGAAAAAAGAACAATCTTTTGCTTGTCCACTTTCAATTTGTTCTGTTCGGATAGTAAACAAGCCGCCCTTTCGGAAAGCCAGCTCACTTAATGTTGAGGTTCAAAACGCAGATGTAAACTTTTTTATTTAATCATTTCCGATGTAAACTTTTTTATTTAATCATTTCCTCTTCTGACCAGCCATAGCACTTGCATTGTGTATGTATACTCACCTGCATATCCATCTTAAAATACGGGGAATCGAAAGTTCAAAATACGTATACGACCTGATCTTTAGGTTTACCAGTCTAGGCGAGTATAGCTGCCATTTAGCTAGTTTCCTTTTTAGAGCTTGTTGTAATTCTTCGAATTCTCGAACAAATCCAATCCAATAGAATATTTAAAAAAAATCATAAATCAAATGATAAAACATAGAGAAATAATTCCTTATCCATCTTTTCTTTCTTTTTGCTTTATATACTAAAAAAGAATTTAAAAAGAGAAAATTTTCATCATGTCATGAAGAATTCTATCTCTTACATAGGAGTAACTAGAATTAAAAAAAGAATGACAAAGCATCTGGAAATAAACGATAGATTTCTATCAATAAACTTGCTAAATCTTAGGCATTATGACCTAAAGTGACCTTCTATTTTTAGGTAGCCCCAATTTTTCTGCCTGATTACTACTTTCCTCCGTCCCAAAATAAGTGTCATTCTCGCTTCTCGAGGTACTTTGACCAAATATATACAAGAAAATATTAATATTTATAGCGCATAATTAGTATTATTAGATAGATCATTGAATCTACTTTTATAATGAGCTAATTTGGAGATACAAACGTTGTTAATATTTTTTTATAAATCTAATCAAAGTTAAGAATGTTTGATCGGCACGGAACCCAAAACGACACTCTTTTAGGAGGGGGGGGGGGAGTATCATAGAAATTCTAGAAATATGGTAAACCAAATGATGCATGTAACCCTTCCTAATTACTATATTTGAATTAGTAATATAAATCAATGATAGGTACCATGCGGATGTTGTTTTTTTAAACTAAGCTAGACGATTACTTTCCAAATTTGGTACTACTTTAATTAAATCCCTAAATATTGTCATACTCTATTACAGATTTCTTATATTCTGGATTTTTCACTGGCCAAAAATAGAGAATGGGATAGAAGCTGCCAGAGGATGGAAAGATATAGAAAAAGATTTTTATCCAAAAATGACTATTCAAATTTTGATTTAAAGAGTAAGTTTAAGAGATACTACCTCCATCCTGAAAAGAATGCAACTATAGGTTGCGTGCCATAAAAAGTGGTTCTCGTTTGATCCTTAGAGCTAAGAAGCCAGAAACCCTAATTCATACCCAACAGGATCAGAGCTAGCAATCAAGAAAAGATTAGTCCTCAATAGGATCCAGTCTTGTATTAGAGATAGTGAGATAGAGTGAGAGGGAAGAGTTTGGAGGAGTCCCAGCCTGTCGGTGCTCTCTCTACGGCTTGTACCCTAGCGGAATCAAGTTCTTCTTGAGCTTGCTTCTGAGATTTCTCTGATAATTGACTTCTAATTCAAGTTAGCATCTTATTCATATTGTTCTTCAGGTTTGCAACTCTCTTTTGAGTACTTTAATTCTTGTAGCTCCTGAGTTAAAGTAGTATTCGTAGTGTAAGCGTGGTGCTTAGACTCGGTTACTCGTGAATATACTCTATTTTTCGGATCGGTGGTAGCTCATTGAATCCTTTGTAGCCCACCTCCTGTTAGTAGGCCTAGCAGGACCTTGTTGCTATAGGCAACATACTCTGCCTGTGTTTTCTCTAGTAATATCCCTAAAATTGAACGATAGAAGACAAAGCTTATCGAAGTTAGAGCTAGAAGACTTTAGCAGTCTCCTCTACGCTCCTATTATCTAGCCTTGATTGTGAAGTTGAGATAAGTTAGATTTAGTTATTCTCACACACGTTTCCTCGAGTTCGATATAAACTGGGTACTCCCGTTGAAGTGCTACATCGGTATAATATCTGTGCGCTTGTGGATTATTCTGTGTGCATTAATTTATACAAATAGCTGTCACCACTTGCCATCCACCACAATCTATCCAGAGGCGTAGCCGTATCCACATATAATCTATAGCCTAAGCACCACGCTTAATCTATAAACGTACTACTTCGATCCAAGCTTCGATGAAATGAGATCAAAACACCATAACCAGATGGTGGAACCGGTACTAACGAAAGACTACTAATGATAAGATAACCTATATTACTAATGCCAAACAAGAAGCACCTAAGCTCACTAATGATGAACACTAATGACTAAGTACTTAAAGTAAAGCGAGCAATACTAGAATAAAGTACTAAAATAAATACTGAATAAAGTAATGCAGAAATGAAAGAATTACAAAGGAGCTATACCAGACCTAGAAGACTCTTTCGAACGCCGAGAGTAGCTCCGCTCTTGCTCTACTCCACTACTAGACTACTACTGTATAGCTATGCTAAGCTAGAAAGCTAAGAGAACCTTGGAGAGCTTTGAAATGAATGTGGCACTTCTCCACCGAGCTCCACACCCACTATTTATAGTGTATAGTAGGGGAGGGGTATTTGTAGGCAGCAGGGAGGTCGGTGGAAGACCTAGGGTGTTGGGTGGCCAAGGTAGGGCATCGGCCGGCCCTCCATTCCACCGCCTTATGATCCAACGGCGATGGTTGGCTCCTAATGGCGGTTGTACAAGTAGCATGTGGTGAAACTTGGCCGGTAAGTTGGTTGATGAAGCTCCAAGTCTATGACAATGGGCCCATGGATCCATGGCCTCTTCATCATGACCATTGGTTGAATCGACTTAAATCAACGCATCCAATTGGTTCTAGAGGGGCTCCCACGGATCGTTGACGTGGCAAAGTGCCAAGTTGGCACTTGGTGGGGCCGGGCGATGCCTAGGTGGCACCGGGCGGTGCTAGCCAGTGGGCCTAGGTGGCCCTGCCGAGCGCGCTGGCGCAGTCAATGGCTGATGCAGCCACTGTTGTCGTATTTCTTCCCCATGCTCATGTGTGAGCTCGGGGGTCTCCGCATGAGGGTCTGGAGGGGCATGAGTCTACAAGGACTCCGTTACCCCGGTGGCTGTCCCGGAGCGTCCGTCATAGCGCACTCCTAGGACGGACGGTGGCTAGGTGCCACGTCACCGATGCTGGAGCCGTCACTCCCGACATCGTCATCCATGAGGTCGAGGAAATAGGTGGAAGCATAGCTCGCCATCCCCATGAATTCAGACGTGAGAGGGGGCGACACCAGCATCCTTTGGAGCCCCTGGGCATACGCGTCCGCGGGAGACACGAGGCCGTAGGGGAACCGGCCGTATGGCGGCTGCGACGGGGACAATAGCATGCCTCTGGGTAATTGGCGGAAGATAGAAAATAACAAGTAAATAATAGCATGTACATTACTCACAGCGGGGTTTGAGCAGAGAGTTTGCTCGGAATAAAGCGTAGGTGCCGCGCCTTGAAGTCGTGCGCCCGGAGTCGATGGAGGGTGCCCCTCCAACGGGTGCCAGAACGAGTGCCTCCTCGCGGAGATGTAGTATGCCGAGCCGGTCAGCAACGAAGTCCAGACTTTCGAGGAGGAAGGCCTGGGATGGCTCGAAGACGGGTGGAACCCATGTCCCAACAGGTGGGAGCGCAGGAAACTCTAGTGAGCCGAAGCGAATCGTATCGCCAAAGCCCACCATGGCGAAGGTGGCGGAAAAGTGGGCCATCTGATGACCAAAAAGTGTTGAACGTACAACGTCTATCCCCACGGACGGCGCCAACTGTCGGTGCAGAAAGTGAC